ATGACAGCTGTGAGTGCAGTGATGTGTCTACTTTTGGATGTGGACCTTCTCTAGATGTCTACTGACGGCTTTGTGACCTTCAACACTCGAACCAAATTAATGAACTGATTCCAATCAAATTGCCTTGCATTCTGATCACCAACACGATCAAGATCGCGACATTGGTCAAGACCTTCGCTTCACTGTCAGCTTCAGCGGCAGAGCCAGCAAACTACAGCAGCATCAGCAGACATCATTAACTGTTATGGTGCTGGTGCCAATGTGCTTGCTCAGTGACTCTTCACACCTCCTTCCCGCTGCGTCACCTGTTTCAGCTCCTCAACATGCCCACTGCGACCAACTATGGCGATTCTACTAAACGTTGTGTAATTCCTCACCAAATCGTTTCTGCTATCGTCTTTCATTCCCTCTGACGCACCTCTTAATGCAGCACTGCACACGTGCGATTTCCAAATGAGATGATGACTTTGATAACCCTCCCATTGTGTGTCATCGTGGGTTGGGACGGTCACAACGCAGCTCTGACGAGTTAGGACAGGAAAATTAAGTGATGACTACGGTCAAGTAGGAATTTGGTAAAATTACCTCCTAGCAATTAGTTCTCATGAATGTCGAGAGGAAGTTGGCATCTGCTGGTTTGGTGGCAAAGGAAATGTTCAGACAGTGGAAGTGTCGCCAGTCAAACTACGGTTGCGCAATTACTTCTGCGTTTTGAGTGCTCTCGAGTTTGGACATGCCTAATCGAAGTAGTTGTCATGACAGTTTTGTATGTTCATGGAGTAGTTCCTCTTGTCTCTCTTTCTTTCCCTGCATGCCTGATACAAATGGGTAAGTTGCAAATTACCCAAACGGTTTTGATGGAAACGCTGCGGAGAGTATTCGTTGAATCAGACATTCAGGAGACACACCTTCCCATGCTGTGATCTTTTCAAAATCCATTTGCGAAATACCCATAGCAGTATGCAAGGTGGCAAACGTCTTGTTGTACTGTTGGATTTTGGATACCAACCACATATCGACTTGGCCTGCATTGTCTTTGCTTGCGTGGGTCCACTTCCATGTTGTACTCTACGCACACGATGAGACACAACCCTGTTCAAGCATTTCCGTTTTTTCGCATTTGATGTGGAACAACTCCTTGCAGAACTCGGGTTTTCTGCTTGCATTGTAACTCCAAGTAGTTGATCTGTGTGGTATCTTTGAGTTACTGCACTAATGCTGATATACCACTACTTATTGTGAGTATGTGGATGAGACTGAGTATGATGATTGGCTATTGCATTATTGTAGACCAGCTACATTCGCTTGTGAGTAATTTCCTGGAAATACTATTTTAGGGCGAAGGACTCACGCACTTTGGGTACAAGTGGGGCAGTGCGGCAAGAATGAGGAGGGAATAAATTGGGGTGGGGTGGGGTGGGGTGGGGTGGGGGGGGGAACCATGAAGGTAACTGCCACACAGGTGTGAATGTCCACTCAGGTAGTTGGTCATAAAACGTGCTGTGAGGAGGAGACGACTCGTGTTTGACAACGAGAATCATTGCGTTGCTTCTAGGTGTTGGTGAAGCTCGTGATACACCAGATTTACATGCTCATGCCTACTTTCTTCTGCTCCTTGGTGTAAGATAGGAACTTGGGGCAACTTGACACTCATTCTCGACATTCTGGTTCTGGTAATTCGCGATTTTCCCTCAATTTCTACAATGAGGGATATTAGTAATAAGGTCACCACCTAATTACTTTGGCAGTGGTAGACTTGCTTTTTGAAATTTCACTTTCTCCGTTCATTGTGAAGATCACTGACCCATACCAGTTCCCAAATAATGCCCATCAGGCGGCCCCACCGTCAAGGTGGGAGTTGATTAACGCCTTGTGGTTCAAGCACAATTCTTCACCACAATGCCTACACAACCAATTAGTTTCCCTTCAAGGTGTAGCTGCACACTAAATCATTGCAAGTATGAGGGAGGTCTTATTTTGAGTACCTCCCAAACTGCAATTTATTCGTTTCTATTAATTAGCTTTCGTTAAAAGCTACAATATTCCGTTTTAACATCTACTACACAATACAGTGCTTCCGAATAGGTGTAAATAATTTAGTCTTGCACGAGAACTGACACGCAGATACTCAATAGGTTGTTACTGCCTTGTGTTATCAACAAGGGTAACATGAACATGAATCCAGCAGGCAATGGCCCTGATTCGAGTGAAATTGGGAGGTTTTAGGGCGAAAATTCCAACAAAGTTTGGCACCTAATTAATCAAAACGTCAAATACTTTGATGCTGTAACCCCATTTTATAACATTTCATCCACTATGTAAACTGTACCAGTAACACCATAGTTGCTGTGTTACAGTATTTTTTGACTACAACACAAGTGTTAGGATGAACGAATTATGAAATGAAGCATAATTAAAATAGGGTTTGTACAATTAATTACGTGGAAAACAAATTCGGTATAAATGTGCTTATTCGTGTTGTTTATCCGAACCACCTAAATCACTAAAACAAGTGCGAGTATAAAATGGTGTTAATGTGCCACGCGAAAATGAGTAGTAATCTGCAATGGGTGGTAGTACCAGCGACT